TTTGTTTTGAAGAGGAGGGCCACAAACTGATTAGTTTAAAGATTAAAACAGTATTAAAGGAAACTACCACAGCCCTGTCTGTGTCGAGGCTTTATTCCTGAGACCGTCCAGGGTTGTTGTTATTTTTTGTTTTGTTTTTTTTAAAAGTTAGGTTGATTTGAATTGGAGTAGCTACGAGCAGTCAGTATTGTCCCTGTAGAAGTACATTCAGAGTGCTGGCCGTTTGGATCCTCAGGGAGAAACCGGAATGGACCTTACCACCGTGGCCACGTTTCATTGGTCGATGTCCATTCTACATAGTAGCTGCGCTACCATGTGCGTGGCCGTCTCACAAACACAAGCTAATGTACACGCATTAGTAAACACATTCTAATGTAGCACCAGACTACATTGTGGACTAGCAGACCGGCAGAAAGTTTTCTGAAAAAGAAAACTTGGTTCTCCATTGCCAGTGGGGTATCTGTACTGGTGATGTCAGGTACTCTATCGGTCCAAGTGGAAGACCCCATGTTTACGTAGAAACAAAGCGCAATGAGGCTTTGTTTGTGAGACTTGTGGCCATGTGGGATTTTCTAGGTTGGTTGTGGGCAGAGCTTGGTTAAGTTCGTAGTGACGTCAATCCACCAAGACCCACCAAGAGATCTGCTGGTGATCATAGGGAGCATTACTAGCTCTATTTACAGTTCTCTCCAAATTGTTCCAAACTTTTCAGTTTTCTACTTTTATTTGCATCATTTCCAGTCTTGGATTAAATATTGTCTCAGTGTGTTTTTAGCTTCAGCAGCCTGTCAAAAACCCAAATCCAATCTTTCTCGGTCAATCGGCCCTCCATTCATGAGCAAAAACAGGTTGAACTTACAACCTGTAAGGATCTGAAAAATAAAATCAGAAGACACTAGACGGCTGCTTAACTAGGCTGGATTCTGTGCAAGATGTCCAGAGCTGGACCTGGATGGATGCTGGGGAAACACTCTCCAGCATGTTCATTTCCAACAATCCTTGTGTGTGTAAGAGGTAGTCCTTTCATTGGCAACAGGGCGAATCAACCCACTGTGCACTGCAGCTGCAAACTTTGCTTTCAGTACAAAAATCTTTTTTAAAAAACTTCTCCTGGTTGTTTACACCTGAAATGTGTATTTAACCAGATTGGTGTAGTTAAAATAAACACTTTGTATGAGGAAAAAAAAAGAAGAACAAACTAAAAAAATGTTTCCCCAAGATTTATTATATCTATAGTCTACGGGTCAGACCATCTTTAAAAAAGATACATGCCTCTAGTCGAGATAATAGTTTGGTATGACACCCCTTCCAAATAATACACAATTTCCACACTTTTTGCCTTTAATAGATTATATTTTTTCCATCAGGGACACAAGTTAAGATCCGAAATACTTAACAGACTCTATGCATTCAGAAAATATATAATATACCCATAATGTCCGTTTATGGGAGGCGAGTCTGAGCTGTAATTTGAAGACACAGATTTGTGCTATAGCCTTAACTGGTTCTATGTTGTGTGTGTGTGTGTGTGTGTGTGTGTGTGTGTGTGTGTGTGTGTGTGTGTGTGTGGGTAGAAGGTATCACTTGTGTTATAAAAAGGATAGTCAGCAATAGTAGAAACTTACATGAAATTTAGAATGCTATTCAAGCCTATTAATCAGATTTAGTGAGTTTTTCCATCCTGGGCTACCATGATGTAGCCCATGATAACCACGCAGAAATGTAACAGCATGGTAGACTTTGAAGGAGAATCCCACCCTCACTGAACGACAAACTTCGAGGTAAAAATAAACATAAAAGATTATTTTTCTGATGATTAAATTGACAGCATAATTAAGGTTATTTTATTACATTTCTGCTACCAGATGATGATGATGATCTGAGCCACATTGGTACCAACTACATTATGCTTGCTGATGTTGATTTCAGCCCGGCCACAAGTGAGTTCATTAAAAAAATGAATTAAATCAGAAAGAGGTACCTATTAACCCACATAAGTGCCAACTAGTACAAACTGCCTTCTGATGACTTGGTCTTGAACGTTCCTTCCAGACGAGCTGAAAAAGTATCTGCTCAGTTAACATATTGGTGTAGTTAAAATGAACATAAACCTATAAAGATATTTCCACACCATTCTAGAGATGTTTGTTTGTTTGTGCCTGCAGTAGAATATGACAACCCTTTGTGCCCCCTACCTTTATTTGCCACCCGTCGTTTTAATGACAGAACAGTCAGTCTCTCTGCACTACTGCTGTCAGTGACAGTGAAGTGGGAATGACTTCATCTGCAGCACAGAGTCTCTGTATAGTGACAGTTCAACAGCACAGATCATGTTCAAACAAACAAACAAACAAACAAAAAAACAGCTTTATCAGGGGTTATATTAGGATTCAGCAGAGATGGTGACTCAAGTTTTAGACTCTGACATGAATCACACTTAAGTCGCAAAAATAAGATTTCACACCTAACTTAGACTTATTCCCTACAGACCGAAGTCTTGCTCAAGTCTTTAACTCATCACACAACAAGGAATAACTGGAAATGACGTGGCACAAGCAGCTAGAGAAAGTCTGTCACTGGTAGGTCTTTGCTGTTGTAGGTGTTAGGTAATATAAGGTAATTTTATTTATATAGCGCATTTTCAGGTTCAAAGTGTTTTACATAAACTAATAGGGCTTTTTCTGGAAACCCCTAATAGTATTGTACACATTGAATGTTAAAAAATCATTCAATATCTCCTATCGCTGTTGGCACACTTACTGTTTGTTCAACTCCTGTATCAACTTCTTTTTACAGCAATTCTAATTGTTTGTGTGGGGAAAGCTTGCTAAGTGAATCCCTTTGCTTTGTACGTCAGATTGTCGTTGATGGGCAGCGTTGCAGTGTGCTTTGACTAATGTGTCCAAGTCTGCAGTTTTTCTGTCCCTCTGTGTGGAGCTGATGATCAGAGGACTTAGTGGTTCTTGTATTTAGTTCGGTCCTGGGTTCTGTTTGTGGATGCGGGGGGGAATTGTTGGCTCAATCCATATTCATGTATTAACCAACCGCTTCCTGTCAAGTGTTGCCCCAGGGCTGGAAGGACATCCAGCTACGCTTTCTGCTTTTGGCCTTGTTGAATTGAGGTTTACACAGACGACCTGAATCTGTTGCTCACTTCTGCTGTGATGTGCACAGACTTTATGGTTCTTTGCAACAGTGAGTCTTGATTCACTTGCTAAATTTAGCACCACAAAGATTATTTTGTGCTTTTTGATATGATCAATGTGTAATCTTTGTATTAACTGATCAGATAAGACAAGGTCCCTGCTGTCCCTCCTTCACTTGATCATTACCAAAATAAGCTAAAACCAATGTTCAGTCGTCCAGTTGGGTTTAGTCCGCCTGCTAAGACTTAACAAACCCTCCCAAACCGCATAAAGAAGAAAACATTGTACCTGTTTGTGTTCTCGGAAAATGTCCTCAGCCTCACATTTAAAAGGGTGAGTTACTGATGTGAAACCATGGAAACACAGCAGACAAAAATTCTCCCAGCTGAATCACTCCAGCTCAATTATTCTGCTGCCTCTACATTCAGCATTTTGTTGTTTTTCTATCCTCTTGCCATCACTGCCACAAAAAGAATCCCCCCCGTTTTCACTGCGGCACATCTGAGCATGTGGAAAGGACCAGGTGGACTGGACGTAACTGTATTTATTTTTGGGTTCGATGTTTGCTTAACCACCTAACATGTGCGAGGGTATTTTCCTTTCCTCAGACGTGCCTCGGGTCAAACACAAAACACGCTTTCACTCGGAGGCTTCGAGTCTCTGCTTTATCAGGGCAATCTGTCACAAAACTTCCAAGGTGGGAAAAACACAATTAGTTCTGATGAGAGAAATGAAGGATAAATATTTTTGGGACTATATCAGCACAAGGCAAAAAGAAGATTAACTAGCATTGAGTGTTTAGAAAAAAGGGGAATGAATCCCTCACATCCTTTCCAGCAGTGGTTTACTTGCTGTAGTAGTTTTCTGAAAGAAAACAGCAGCTCAGTCCACAGGGACTACATTTACCCGTAATTCCCTGGACACTTGGTCGTATTGAAATATTATATATATATATATATATATATATATATATATATATATATATATATATATATATATATATATATATATATATATAATATCTAATTATATATACAATTTATGTACATTTATAAATCATAAGATTTATATCACAATATAAATCTTACACAAAGCCAGATAAAGATCTCACATTTGGGGATTTATACTTTTTAAAACTGTTACTAGGTTGTATAATATGAGAATCTGCTCCTCTACTTCCTCCCAGTGTGCTGAAGAAATGCACCACTCCCAGTCAGGAACCATCAGGGCCAAAGGAGGGTCTTAGTGCTGCCAGTTAAGCTCATGTATGTGGTGCTCAACATACTAATGGTGGAGACAATAAACAACAATAACAAATAAAACATCCCTCTGTATTCAGAAATGTGTAGTCCATTCAAACTGTACAGATAATTAAAAAATGGGATGACTTTAGAAAATCCAGCAGATTAAATCAAGTCACCGACTTCCTGTTGAATGAGCATGAGGCGACAGTGGCCCTTGGTTGCATCATGTTGTTCGCTGTGCAGCAATCTGCCACACAGAGCCAGTGTTAGCGACAGTGCAGTGTGAAGCAGAGAGACGGCGCTACAGGGACAAAGACAATGAAACCTTTCAAACATGCATCCAAAGCTGTGTGCCTCCGGGACCTACCCGGCTCACAACACGTCGCCAGTCTCTGAAACTTGCCTGGAAACTTTAAAAACGGCAGCACAGGAAAAACAGAGGGAGACCAAAGACAAACAGCATATTAAGAACAAATCAACATGGTCATTAGCCGTGTTTTGACACAGGCTGTTTGTTCTTCTCTCCATGGCCACCACTCCGTAGTTCTAAAGAGAAAAACTGTTGTGGCCCACGGTGATGACACATGTTAATGGGTTTGTTTTTCTTCAGCTGGAAAAGAAGGAGATGACGGCGCCCTTCAAACCTCAAATCTCTGATGAGTACGGCTTGGAAAATTTTGACACGCAGTTTACCAACGAACCAGTGCAGCTAACACCAGACGACGAGTGAGTACTGCTTCTTCTCTGCTTCTTCTCTGCTCGGATGAAATGTTTGTAGCTCTAATCAATGCCGTCCAGCGCTGTGAAAAAGTATTTGCCCCGCTTACGTATTTGTTCTTTGTCGCACTGAAATGTTACCTGTCATCTAACGGATGTTACTCTCTAACTAAGAGAATCTGTGTCAAGATAAAAAGCTGGTTTAGTAACGGAGAAAAAATAAAACTCATAAATCCTCCTCTAAAGTACTGAGTGAGTTCAGTTTCACTCGCAGTCCCTGCATGAACTATTTTGCATTAATACATCATGCTTGTATGTATTGCAGTTGGAGAAATAAAGGTCAAGTGCTGTAGTTACCATATTGTTTGTGCCATTCGGGCCATTTATTTTCATACAGAAAAGAAGTTATTCGGTTCATATCTTTCAGTCATTCCCAATCAAAGCGCCACTTACTGACACCAGGAAGACTTCAGCTCACTTTATTTATATGGTGCCGATTCACAAAAAATGTCATCTTAATGCACTTTGCAAGGCAAATAGAAGCAGTTCATCTGCAGAATTATGTAATTAAATAAGTCCAATGATATAAACATGTATGAAGTCACTTACAAATTTTTCAATTTTGTTTTAGCTCCATAAGCAGTCAAGTTGAGGCAGTTGTTGCTTTAAAAGTTCCATCTGAGAAAATGCCTCAAATTACATCACAGCAATCCCTCCACTGGTGCAAGCATGCAGTGGGCAGTCAGTTTCATTCAGTGGTTTACTTTACAGCAATGGTGAGCAGGCATGTGGCAATAGCGTGATACAGACTGGGGTTTGAGCACAAACTATAAATACACAGGAGCACCAGTCCAGGAGTTTCTTCTAGAAAGGGAAAAAGTAAAGGATTAAGGGAGGCAGGAGCTCCTTCAGGAACATTCTCACTCGAACACAAGACAAGACAACACTGGTGGTAGATCAGAGACGCAATCTCCCACTAACTCATCCTGGACAATTGTCCTCAGTTAAACTGGTTGGCTTGATTTGTGGAATCCCACCAGAGCATTTTCTTTAACCAACTGTTTTCTAAGAAACAAATTGAGCAGCTCAATCTGGTTTAGTGGTCAGGATGGATGGATGGATGGATGGATGGATGGATGGATGGACGGATGGACGAATGGACGGACGGATTGATGGATGGATGGATGGATGGATGGATGGACGGATGGATGGATGGATGGATGGATGGATGGATGGATGGATGGATGGATGGATGGATGGACGGATTGATGGATGGATGGATGGATGGACGAATGGACGGACGGATTGATGGATGGATGGATGGATGGACGGATGGATGGATGGGTGGATGGATGGATGGATGGATGGATGGATTGATGGATGGATGGACGGATTGATGGACGGATTGATGGATGGATGGATGGATGGACGGACGGACGGACGGATGGATGGATGAACGGATTGATGGATGGACGAATGGATGGACGGATGGATGGATGGATGGACGGATTGATGGATGGATGGATGGATGGATGGATGGATGGATGGACGGACGGATGTCCGTATCAGGTAAAACTTACCCCTTTAAACATGAATAAAGATGATGAATACCTTCTGTTAACAACAGCATGCATACAGTGAGTCTGGGAGGGAGGAGGAGGTGGTGGGGGAACATGTTCCCTCCATCCACGGTGAACATGGAGAAGCCCCTCCCCGTCCTACCTTCACGCCAGCGTTGCATGCTGTTCTGTCTTCCCACAGGACTTTCTCATCAAATACAGCAAAACATCCCCCACGGGGCTCCCAGGCTGATGTCTTTATCCATCAGGGACATTGTCTTGATTAACGCCAGCATGGAGCTTTTAGGGCCTGACAGGAGCTCTTGTTTAAGATTTGACTTTTCGAGAGAAAAGAGGTTGAGGATATCTGGCACGACAACAGACATGAGTCGCGCTCTGCTGCTGGGGATCCTCTGCAGACGCAGCACGAAGACACAAGCTCAGCCTGTTTTCCTCTGTGCCATTAAAAGCAGCTTCCATACGCCTTTAATAAGGCCTGCCAATACATACCAGGCTTTTGTTAGACAAGATTTCTCTATAAATCCATGCAGGATTGATTGTTCAGGCTCCAGCATTTAAACTTCTCCTGCAAAGCATTTATTTGACTGTTTTTTTTTTTTTCAATCAATCTCTGAACTAAGCAGCTGCTCAAAAACAGACGGACTGAAAATTCAATACCCGCTATGTATAATACACTTTAAAAAAAAAAACAGGCCTCTCATAAGGAGGAAGAAATGCACATTTTAATAAGGCTTGACAGTTTAATATTAAACAGGAATGAAACTCTGTTGTTGAAGCATATTCTGTAGGACTGTGAACATCTAGAAAGAACTGGACTGCAGCGGTTCTAGAACCTGTTGAGGTTTTCCTTATCTCAGAGCAGATCTCAGTCTTCGGTTCTTAAAAACAGAACTTTCTGTCCTCGTTTCCAATTTGTCTCTGTTCTGATCTTCTCGCTGCTCGAGGTTATGGAAAAACCTCAGCAGATCATTGCCACATTGCTTCTGGGTTGCTGGACCAAGTTGCACTAGGTGGATGTTTTCATCCCTCTAGTCATGGTTGTTGGGTAGAAGTGGGATGAGAAGAATCTCCCCACTTTGGGCTGGATCTGTTTGCGTTGCTGCCGGCACCAACCAGGACGCCCTGTGGCTCTCCCCACTTTGCTTTCTCCAGATCTCCAATCCAGCTGAACTTCACCTTGAAATTCTCAATGATCCAGAAAACTGTTTGGCTGCTAATTTCTCTCAGCTGTAGCTATTTGACTTTTTAAATTCAGTGCAGTTCAGTATGGGCTAAACTCATGTTCCATCCAACGTTTCTGGTCAAGAGCTACCATCCAGGTCGGGTCTGCGGGTCAAGAGTCCGTCGGACTCTAAGGTGACATTTCTAGCTTTATACAAAACTAAAGGGCCAATTCTGCTTTTTAATGGGACTGCAACTGCAGGTAACATCTTCAGTTCAAACTCTCGGATGCAGGTCATTTGGAAAATATTCACAGTACTTCACTTTTTCCACATCTTATGCTCCAGTCTCATTCCAAAAGGTTTCCAATCAAACTCTTTTCTCAAGAGTCTAGACACAAAAACCCCGTTATGACAATGTGGAAGAAGTTTTTGAGATTTTTGCAAATTTATTAAAATTAGAAGATCAAACACTGAACATTAAATCGTAAGGAGCCATCTTTAGACCTTTGAGAATGAACCGTCTGGTCTTTGAACGTTTTATTACTCATCTATTGTTTGGAGTGTTGATTCACAATGAACTTGTTGAGGCTTCGTAAGAAAAACTGATCCAACTTGATTCACTTGAAGCTGATTAAATTCATATTATTTAAATTGAGATTGAATTCTATCGTCAACTCTGATGCAGCTCTAGAAAAAGACATCCAGATCCAGACGTATGTTAGTTTTCCAAGTCTGTCCTCCTGAGCATGCATAAGGCGACAGCGGGGAGAAACATGAGCACGGCCATGTGTCACCACACACAGGATGAGCACAGAGCAGAAACTTCATCGTCAGACTGAGCCAGGTGGGCTTTCTACAGGAAAAAATAAGAAGTGCTGGGTTAGCATCGCCATCTACAATTAATTGAATAAACTCTAGCAGTAACTGAAAGTCTTCCATTACCAAGGAGAGGAGGACTGTGCAGCAGTCTGTAGGCTGATCAGATTATTGACGATTTCTGGTGTATGTCTTCTCTTCATAGGAAGACAAACGGATTGATGCCAGACTATTTTCAGTTTCAGTATTTAGGTCTGTTTAAGTCTCGCAGCGTCATATTTGAGGTATGAACTTCACAGCTCAGATATGTCGCCCCCTGCCGTGCTGCCACCACCTGCCCATCCTGAATCCTCATTATATTCACCTTCAGCTGGAGCAACATGAACTTCTCCAGTCCTGTGAGGTGGCACTGAACTAATGTCACGCCGCGACGCCTTCAGTCTGAAGTCAGACTTCAGAGCTCATTAAAAGAGCTGCAGCAGAGTGGCGCCGAAGCTCCGCCCCTCGTTGTGACAGGGTGTGATGAGTCGAGTCCGTCACAGACCTGTGTGTGTCTGCGTGTGCGGGTCGGTGTGGAGCTGTTGGTTCAGGAGTGGAGACATTAGCTCGGCCTCAAACAACACATCAGAGGACTGTGCAGGACACGGTGGCCTGCAGCACCGTTTCAGGCGGAGGCTGTTTGATGGAGTCACATGAGCTTCGCTCCTCACGTCCCCCAGAATCCCTCTCTGCTCTCCTGCGTATGAAAGGCAAATTAACAAAAAAAAGCGGAGAAAATAAAAGAAAGACCCACGCATCCTTTCCTGCGTCTCGCACTTTGTCTCCCCTTCCCTTTCTCTTCCCTCTGTTACCAAGGAGAGGGGCTGGCGTCGCCCACTCCCGCTAGGAGGGGGTGATGCAAAAAGCACTTCAGTCTCCTCGCGCTCCCACTCATGATGGGCTTGGCACGAGAAGAAAGAAAAGTGAAAGCTGTGTGGGGAGAGAGGAGTGTAAGCCCTCCATGTTAGAGATTTACATTGCTACATTAAAAGCCAGGATTGCTGGGGGCCCACGTCTGCATGGTGGGGGCTGGGAGAGGCGGTGGAGGGGTCTTTGTGCCAGCTCTGTCTGGGAGAAAATGGCTGCCTCAGTTACTGCCAAGGAAAGCAGATTTTGTGTCCTCTGTCCCTGGTCCAGGTGGTGTGTGTGACAGCCAGCTGTAGTGAGGGTCATCACTGCTCACTGATGACCAGTCAGCCAGTTACCTCCCTCCTCCCATCCATCCATTCTTCTTATTTTGCAGCATGTTACAGTCTGTTCTCGCCTCAAGAAGTCCCAGCAGAGCCTTTAGGAGCCTGTTGTGTTCACACAGTTTTACGATCAACAGGAACTCATCTGTGAAAAGTTCTGCGCTGCAGTCCAGCAGTTGGTCGACATGTTCAGGTTGGCCAACTCCAGTTGAAGGTTTTGT